ATAAAACTGGTTTATTCTTTCCGAATATAACTTTACGATACACTTAATTTCAACAATCGCGCTAAAACAAACACTATAACAACGAACGTGCTCAACTTCAATAATACTCGCTGATTGCAGATCAATTACTCACTGTCTATACACACATTATTCCGTCACGTTGTCACCCTCTTATATATATACCAGACTACCCTATATCTAGTAATCTCCCGACTATTCCCGAAGGTTCGAGAGGTGGCATGACACTAGTCACGTGACCTCGCTGATGCAACAATATTCATTTTAACCATTATTAACATTTGGATTATTTAGAATTGATACCTATGAAACAAAAATTGATATATTTTTATTTTACATTCAGGTAAATATTGAATATTTTGATTTTTTTGAAACACTGCTTGATAATATTGAAGGTATGAAATTTATTTCAGTCTAAATCATGTGAAGTGTTATAATATAGTTGTGCTTTAGAAATGTGTTCAAGTTCATAGTTGTGTAGATATTCATGTAAGTAGTCATTCAAATTTCTATAAATTGCAACAGCTACTTTTCTTTCACTGTTTCTATAACATATTCACCTCAAAAATGAAACTAATCAAAAAGCCCCACATAGTACTGGTTAACTTCTAAGTATGTATATAATAACAATAATGTTTTTCACATCAGTTTCTTTTAAAGAAATTGTTTTAGTTCTTGTGCAGTGCTTTGATTGGACATGCCACAACACACTTACAAGACACAATATATTAATAATTTAAATGTTTATAACCATTGGTGGACTGGCTTTGAGAAGACGACTCAGGAATTTAACTTACAGTGGCACCGTAGGTGCATTTTAGGGGTGCAAAATGAATGCTGTTGTTTAATGCCGCATAAGAAGTATTCAACATTCCGTACTTAATTGTTAATTTCAAAAATGAAAATAGCGAAAAATACAAACACATCTTTAAATGAGTCACAAAACACAAGTAGTTGACAATGTTGATAACATTGTCAATAATTCTGTTGTTCTTAAGTTCAGTCCTTCTGTTGATGACATTGTCAATAATTCTATTGTTCTAAGTTCAGTCCTTCTGTTGATGACAATGTCAATAATTATGTTGTTCTTAAGTCCAGTCCTTCTGTTGATGACATTGTCAATAATTCTGTTGTTCGTAAGTTTAGTCTTTCTGTTGATGACATTGTTAATAATTCTATTGTTTCTAAGTTAAGTCCTTCTGTTGATGACAATGTCAATAATTCTGTTGTTCCTAAGTTTAGTCCTTCTGTTGATGAAATTGTCAATAATTCTATTGTTTCTAAGTTCTATCCTTCTTTTGATGACAATGTCAATGATTCTGTTGTTCCTAAGTTTAGTCTTTCTGTTGATGACATTGTCAATAAGTCTGTTGTTCTTAAGTTCAGTCCTTCTGTTCATGACATTGTCAATAATTCTGTTGTTCATAAGTTCAGTCCTTCTGTTGATGACATTGTTAATAATTCTGTTGTTCGTAAGTTCAGTCCTTCTGTTGATGACATTGTCAATAATTCTATTGTTCGTGCAGTTAGATGTAACACTCAGTGTGTTTAACATCCAGCTAAATGTAACAATCAATGTGTTTAATGTGCAGTTAGATGTAGCACTCAGTGTGTTTAACATGCAGCTAGATGTAGCACTCAGTGTGTAACATGCTATAGTTGCAAGCAATCAGTTAAAAACAAATATTTTGAAAGCTTTTTTTTTGAGAAAATATAAAGATAAATGAAATTATTATTCTTTTATATATTTCTATGTATCATAAATACCTGAAGATTAATGAAACCCACAATTTGTTCCTTACTTTGCATAGTTAATGTATACAAAATAACTATTTTGTAAGGAAAGTATTGCTCTGAAAATTGCCTATTTGGGTATTGATCCTAAGAGCAATTACACTGAGGATTGTGAGATAACTGTTCTGTAGCTAATGCAAATAATTCATCTTAGATGCAATATATGTTACACAGAAGGTCTTACATATTTATCTTAAACTTTCACATATGATATATATATTCATAGTCAGTCACAGTTTACAAATAATATATATTCACATTAGATTTTTTAAGAAGTATTTAGAGATACTGAATGTCATAAAGCAAAAAAAAGAAAAAAAGAAATGGTTTCCAATATAGAATAGAGAGAGAAAAGCAGGAAAGCACTCATTGAAATTGTAAAATCTTGCAGAACATTGGATTCTATGTTCTCCTTTAGAAGCTTAGCAACTGAAACTACTCTTACAATGACTTCTGGGATCGTCTGTAATTTTAGGAATTCTGGGGAATTGCATCATGCAAGATCAGAATGAAACAGGCTTAATTCATTGTAACAAGGAAGCACTGATTTCACATACTCCAATTTCTCCATCTCAATCAACTGAGTGCCATAAAATCTTCAGTTTTACTTATAAGTCAAAAATGCTAATAGTTTTCACAGTTACAAAGTAGACATGGACAGTGCCATTTCTGAAGTCAATGACATTGGTTGGATGTGGGACAAAGAGATGCAAGTGTGAATGTGATCTTAAGTAAAGCACCTAAAGACTTTTATGGTTGCCAACAGCAACACCAGAGATATGTTTGCATGTCCAAGAAAGCCTAATACAACTTCCCAGTTTCTTTGCATTTCATCCTGTACAGCCGACTCACGATGTGCCTTCAAGCTGATAAGGTCTTCAAGAAAGCATATGCCACTTAAGCAGGATTGTCTTTCCTACTCTGATGAGAAAAAAAAGCATTGTTCTGTACAGTATGCTTGGTGCATGAATGGTATGACCAAGGTCCATTTCTTATGGGAATGAGCAACTGGACACATCTACATTGAAATACACGAACATGAGAAAAAAATATTGCATGGAAAATCCTATGATGCTGAGACAATTAAGATATCAAGGTTTGATGTTGATTCAGTTGAGTTTCAGTCTACAGGGAGAAAAGAAGACAGGAACTTGCACAAGAACAACAGGTCGTGACACTACTGCTACTAGTGGCACAATTTAACAAAATTGTGAAAGACCACCTGGACAAATTAAAAAAGAAGAGCAAACAAAGGAAAGAGGGCATGGGTGTTTCCTAAGAAAGAGATTTTTAGTGACTTTTGTTTCCAAAACTGGAAACAAAGAAGTCAATGAAGAGAAGAAAGAAATCATTAGCTGCTCAAGTAAGGATTGTGTTTGATGCGTTTTTACCTTCTTGAATGACAATTTACATAATCACGATCTTAAACTTGATTTTATGGAATATCAGGTAGTGCTCACTGTTGTTATCACTCAGGTGAGCAAAGCTTTTCAAAATTTGACAATGACATCAACAGAAGGACTGAACTTAGGAACAATAGAATTATTGACAATGTCATCAACAGAAGGACTGAACTTACGGTACACACTGAGTGTTACATCTAACTGCATGTTAAACACACTGAGTGCTACATCTAACTGCACATTAAACACATTGATTGTTACATTTAGCTGGATGTTAAACACACTGAGTGTTAAAAGGAAAATTCAGAGCACAGGTTAATCACGTGACAACACAGAAGTCAAAATTGAGAATATATTTAAATACTGCCTTTTAGAATAACAGTTATATTAAAATTATAAACTATGTCTTGTTGATACATTTACTGACATACATTGATAATAAAGTCAGCTCCTTGTAGAGATGTCATATTCAAAGTTACAACATGAGAATTATACCCCCTGCCACTATTGTTTAACTGAACTGCAGTTAGATGTAACACTCAGTGTGTACCGTGCAGTTAGATGCCTAGATTTTCTTTGTACCATTATGAATTTTAGAGTGTCTAACTAATTAGAAACACATACTATAGATATCGTCAAGCCAGCATATAAACTTAGAACATCCTTCTTTCATGCTCTACTGAGATATATATATATATATGTTAAATCCACATGACATGCTCCTCTCATCCCTCGTTACCTTCAAGATCTGTTCTACAATTCTGTCTCAAGTGGCTGTTGCTCATGTTTATGACATTAGACAGAACTTATTTCAAGTTAATTGTCTTACTATAAAGATATTTTATTTTCTTGGCTGTAAGTTTACAATGGCCTCGGATTCTTTGATGAAAAAGGACTTTGTTTTATTCCCAGCAGCGAAAGGAATGTTTTTAATAACGAAGAAACTCCAGTTTATTTCTACTCTTCCTTTGGCATTTTTATCTCTTTGAATATTCTTGTATAAGAGTGCTCTGGGAAATTCCCGAATAGCCAGTTTGCACCTTACAACTCCGTGTTTAATAAAGAGCCTTTTGTCCCATTTAGGCTATCCCAGTTTCTGCCACCAGCCTACTACAAATTACATATAAAAAAAAAACCTCTTCCTATATCCAACATTGATCTCTAAAATTTTAATCTATTCTGTTCTTAAATTCCTTTGATGTTGCAGCTTTTTCTACATCTGGAGACAAATGTTTCCATAGATTGATGACCTTACTAGAAAAGTAACATTAAACTTGAAGTTGTTTCTGAGTTTCCATCAACTTGTATCTTCTAGTCTTACTGTTAGAGAATTTTTCATGAAAACATCAGCCTAAACATCTGTTTGAGTTATTACAGGTTAATGTACATTAAAATGTTTGAGATTTATTCCAATCAACTTCCTCCAGAGTTTCTCCAGTAAGACTCTAAGAATAATTAATGCTGTAATAACCAGTAAACATAATCTTACAGTTATTAAGGTTAAAAGGCATCAACAATATGCTAGCTCAGCTTTCCAATTATCCCAGTTTCTGTCTCTGCAAAACAGTGGGATCTTCAGTACAACTTGAAATACCTATTAACTTAACAAACTAAACAGTTTACTGGTTATTCAATTATTAATGTTTTTGGTGAAAAAGTAAAATAGCAAATGACCTATCATGTTACCCCAAGGTACACCATTTGCATCATTACTCTACTTTATCATCACACCAGTAATAATAACCTTGTGTATTACACCATTTGTATCATTACTCTACTTTATCATCACACCAGTAATAATAACCTTGTGTATTACACCATTTGT